TCCTCCTCCTCCTCCTCCTCCTCCTCCTCCTATTCCGACGCTGGGCCTCCTCCTCCTCCTCCTGCCACTCCTCTTCCTCCTCCTCCTCCTCCTCCTCCTCCTCGCCTACTTCCTCCTCCTCCTCCTCCTCCTCCTCCTCCTCCTCCTCGCCTACTTCCTCCTCCTCCTCCTCCTCCTCCTCCTCCTCCTCCTCCCCCTCCTCCTCCTCCGCGCACGCGCACGCGCACGCGCTGGCGCCGCTCGGGGCAGGGAGGGCGCGCCTGCGTTGCGCCGCCCGCGGGGCCGCGGGAGGGCCGGCCGGCGCCGACCCCCGCCCGGGGAGTCCGCCGGCCTTCGCCGCCGAGCGGCGTCGTCGTCGTCGTCGTCAGCATCGTCGTGCCGTCGTCGTCGTCGTCGTCGTCGTCGTCGTCGTCGTCGTCGACGTCGTCGTCGTCGTCGACCTTGTCAACATCGTCGTGTCGTCGCCCCCGTCCTCGCCCTTGCCGAGCCTCGGCTCGAGGAGCGCCCTCTGGGCCGTCGATCCTCGAGGGCGGAGCCCTCTTCGCCGCCGTCGCCGTCGCCGTACTCGTCAACATCGTCGTCTTCGTCGTCTTCGTCGTCGTCTTCGTCGTCGTCTTCGTCGTCGTCGTCGTCGTCGGCGTGTCGGCGTCGGCGTCGTCGTCGGCGTCGCCGTCGCGGTCGCGAGGGTGGCCCGACGGCTCCCCTGGGCGGGGCCCTCGGGGATGCGAGGGGCGTCCGCCGCGCCCGACGCCGGCCGCTCCCGGGCCGGCTCGCGCTGGCCGCGCCAGTGCCGCATCCGCGCGCTGTCGCCGCCACCGCCGCCGCCGCCGCCTCGAGGGAAGGAGCAGGAGGGCCATGACCAAGAGGTCGCAGGATCTTGGTCATGGTCCACTCGGCGGCGAGCGAGGGGGTGAAGTGAGAAGGAGAGGGCCCTCTCAGGAGGTGGCGGGGCTTCTGAGACTCCAAGAAGGCCTCTCGCCTTCTGCGAAGTTTTCCGTGTATCTGGGAATCGTCGCAGAAGGCTGGAGGACTTCCGAGCCTTCCGAGAGGGCCCGCCCCCTCTCAATTCCCCCCAGACTGGCCGCCAAAAGATGTCGCGGAATCTTCTCCATGCTGATCTTGATCATGGTTCATGTCGCCCGTCGCCGATTCGCGAGGATGGTGCACGAGTTAACGCTGACCAATATTGACGCTGACCAAGATCGACGCGGCGTTTCCGCGCTCAGTCTTGGCCGTGGTCCCCGCGTTCTTCTCCTCCAGCCACCGTAGTCGCAAGGGAGGGAGAGGGTCAGTCGGCGGCGAGCCTGGGGGGGAAGTGAGAAGGGACGGGCCTTCTCATAATGCTCGGAAGGCCCCGGGCTTTCTGAGAAGTCGTCTGAGCCTTCCCCGAAGGCACCAGAAGCCCCGCTGCCTCCTGAGACCCCCTGCGGGCGCGTCGCCGAGTCAGGGGAGGAGTGGAGGGTGACGATGCGATGCGGGGCTTCGATCGAGTCGTGCTCCAACAGTGCGCTAGGCCGGGGCCGGGCGTATATCGCTCGGGACCACACGCGTATCCGCCACTTCCAGGGTCCATCTCGACCCGAGCGATCCGATTCGATATCGGCTCTGGCCAGCCCGATTTGATTCGATTCCGATGTTCGGGCGATCTGATGCAGCCCGATGCTTGCATGGCGCTGAAATGCAAACTGGCGCCGCTGATTCGATTCGGTTCTGACTCCAAGCCGATGCGGTCCGATTCGACACACGCATGTTCAGATCCGATCCGACTTCCCGGATCGATGTTGACTGATCCTGCCGCTTACGCCACCGAGGCCAGGGGCAGTGGTTGGAGGGGGGGGAGGGAGGGGGGTGCGGCGGGGGAGGGTGTTTCGGGATGCCTCTCTCGGACGAGGGTGGGTGGGGCTCCCTGCGGGGGTGCTCCAGGGGTACGTTAAGTTAAGTGCTCAGTCATGGACCTCTTGTTAACCGAAAGCGTCCGGCTTTCGCGCCGAAGACCGCCGAAGACCGCGGGAAACTTCCGAAGACCGCGGGAAATCTCCGAAGACCGCCAGAGGACCGCCGAAGACCGCCGGAAGACCGCCGAAGACCGCCCGAGGCAGATGGGCAGCAATGGGGCCAAGTTCGAATGCGTCGTATGAGCACCCGGGCTGCCCGCTCTTCTTCGGCTCGCTCGGGCGAAGGGATGGGGAAGAAGGGGAAGCTTCCAGCCGCACCGGGTCGCCGCGAGGGCGGAGATGGCCCCAGGGGGAGGAATGGTGCTGACCCTCGTCCTCGTCCTCGTCCTCGGCGTCCTTGTTCGCCCTGCGTCGTCGTCTTCTTCGCCGTCCTCGTCTCGGTTGTCCTCCTCGTTTTTGTCGTCCTTGTCTTCGTCATCCCCTGTGCCCGCTCTTTGGACACTGGGTCTCCTCGTCTTCGTCGTCCTCGTCTCCGTCGCCCTCCTCGTCGCGCCATCCGTGGTTTCCGCAAGGCGGTCCGAACTTTTCGCTTCATCCAACATATTCCATTGCACGATGACGCGGGAGGGAGGCTGGTATGCATTCACCTGTCCGTTGCTTGTGATCTCCTCGTAATTCATCAGGCTGACTGCACACTTGCCTACCCCTTAGGCACGTCTTGGGGCGTCCTTAAGGGGTCGGCGAATGTGCAACGAGCGACTGGGGCGTCTCGGGGCTCCACAGTGGCGGCCTGTTGGATGTCTGGGGGCCTGTTGGCTGTCTTGGGTACCTGCTGGACCCTTCAGGGGTGTCCTGGGATCTTTGAAAGCCCCCTTTGGGCATTCGTGGCGCTCTGTTGGGGACTTCAGAGACGGTCTTGGTAATTAAGCTTCGGGGCTGCTTTTGAGCCGTCCTGGAGTCCGTGCAAGAAGTCCAGAGGCCATCTTCAGTCAGAAGACAGGAGAGATCACTCATATGGACACGTCACAGGAGACTGACGATGTTAGTTGTCTGGGGCCTCTCTCGGAATCTCTTGGAGCCTCGCCTGGGGCCTCTTGGCAGGTTGCGCCGTCATGGAAGCCTCTTGGAGTTCCTCTTGGACATCTTGGACGCCCAAGCCGCTTTGGAACCAAGCCCGCTCCCCTTCCTCCCTTCGAACCGGCAGACCCCTCGGGTGATGGGTTTGGGCAGGGGCAGGGATGTCACGCGCCCGTCACCCCAAGCGGTCGGCGGATACTCATGATCCTGAGGCTTGACAAGTCCAACAGCTGCACGGAAGGAGGGCGACCTTCCCCGAACTTTTTGTCAGGACGTGCCCCGGGACAGGTCCAGGGTCCGACCCTGATGGGGAGTGACCCTCAGATCTGGGCGTCGTGACAAGAATCGCGACGAGCGTTCTCGCCCAGGTTTAGGGTTCTTGTTCCCTCGCGGATCGATCATTTGTGTTCCGCAAGTTTGCGATTTTCTCAATGTCGGACCGCAGGTGAGTCGTACCTCGGTCGGTGATCGGTGATTTGATAGTGCCGTGATCACGCGCTGTAACATCAGTGAGATGTCAATTGCGATACGGGGATGGGAGGGGGGTGGAGGATCGAGGACCAAGGATCCTTGGTCCCTCACCTCTTCTACTTGGAGCGATCCTTCTGCCCAGCCAGGGGCCTCGGTCCCTGACCAAGGATGTTTCCTCGTCCTCCTCCTCCTGGTATGCCAGGAGACTTCACCAGCTTGCTTGCTTGTTCTGGCCTCATGGCAATTTTTCGCCGCCCTTGGGGGCGACCTTGATGCTGGGAGCTCAGGCCAGACGTCAGCCCACTTCCGAATCAATCCTCTGCCTTCTCGACCAAAGGGATCGAGAGTCCCCGTGGGTTTTCCCCGCACGCCCGTGGCCAGTGGACCCAGCCGTGCGTGGCAGGTGGCACCCTCGTGGGGACCGGGTGCTGCTCGCCTGGTCCATGTCCCCTCTGGAGGCTCTCAGGTTGTGACTTGGTTGCACGTGGCCCCTGACTACTCGCGGCATGTCGTCGTGGGGGACACTTCACGACGCAACTCAGAAGTCTGTAGAAGTGATGGTATCGTGGTAGAGCTCTGTAGCGGTACAGTTAGACCTCGGGCAGCGATTGTTGCAGGTTCGTTCACGATCAGGTACGGAATGAAGGTACACCTTAGGCGATGCTTAAGAAAACTTGCATTTTCGGCCAGAGTCTCGATTATTCTTAACGTTTCAATGTAGTTCCCAAGATTTGAATAGAAATGTTGGGTTAGATTTCAAGTTCTGAGACTATGAATTTCTTAACCCATGATTTCTAAAGCATTTCACAGGGTGTACCCTCGCCCTTGCCGTCCTCCTGGTTTCCCAGTGGCGGCCAGTAGCCAGTCCAGCTCAAGCGCAGCGCGCCGACGTGCGTGCCGTCGCACGCCATGACTTCGAGTGCGTCCGATGCTCTCGTGTCGTCCAGGCGAGCGATGTCGCCGATGGCCAAGACCTTCGAGGCTGGAGGCTTCCCGGAGGAAATGGAGATGATCGACCCGATCTGGCAGGGCCCAGGGATGCGCACGCACGGCCCCAGGAGGTAAATCCTCTCCCAGCGGCCTCCACCAGCAGGCCTCCAGGTGGTCTGGGCACCTGGGACCTGTGGCGCTCAACGACCAGGATTGCAGTGTCGAGGCCGTCCTGGACCACCTTGGGGGGGCCTCTTGAAGGCAGCTGGAGTTGCGCCCACGAGGCCTCCTTCGGACGGGGCTATAGGACGAGGATGAATCCGTCCCAGAGCGTTCCGGAACGCACTCAGAGCGTTCCAGAACGCTCTGAGAAGGCCGCGGCGCCCGAGACGTCTTCCAGAGCCTGCGGATCTCAGAGATTCCCGATTTACTCTCACCCGATTTTATCCTCGTCCTGGCTTGGTCAAGACTCTTTGAAGGCAGCCGGAAATGCTTCCACGAGGCCTCCTGCGACCTCCGTGGTGGCTCTGGATGCGTCCAGGGGCCTCCAGGGATCTCCAGAACGCTCGGAGAAGGGCTGCCCCCGGGGGCCGTGTGCGTGCAGCCCAACGCCGTGCCAGCCCCATCATGAACCTCCTGCTGTTCTTCGAGCGCCTGCCCGCCAGGAGCACGTGGGTGCGCGAGTTCGAGGCGAACCTGTGGCCGGCCCACCGCTTCAGCAGCCGTATGGACGGGGGGCACTGGGTCCAGGAGCAAGAGATGGACACCGCGTACCACTTCGCCGAGGAGCGGAGCCGCTCCAAGAGGAGGAGGAGGAGGAGGAGGAGGAGGAGGAGGAGGAGGAGGAAGAGGACGCTAAGATCCTGGCCGTCGAAGTTCACCTAACGTCAACGGAGGAGGAGGAGGAGGAGGAGGAGGGTCCGTAGCCATACTGACTCAAGTCCGTAGCGTTTTATCAAAGGACGTGAGTTTTTTGGCGAGGGGGATTTCACGGCCACCATGTGTGCACAGTACTCAGGGTGCACCTTATTGCTTTCATTCCACCCCACATTTTGTCTTCGGTACTCCTCGCTTCATAGTCGTTTCCTCCCTTTTGTGAAGGCCAGATAGGCAGGGTTTAGTAGCCTGGCTCGACATCTTCTGGCAAATACAGCTACCGTGCTCGAAGCCAGACACAGTGTCAAGAGGAAGCTCACAGAGCGCTTTACACGTGGTGTTTTCCCTACGTCGGAAACAAAGGTGTCGTTCGTGTCAACGTCGGCCTGCCCCGCGTCACGCTGGAGACGGAACGGACCACGGGTGCCTGCAGCCCTTAAGGCAGGCGCGCCCCCGGGCAAGAGGCACCCCACCATAATGGGTACACTCGGCCCCTGGGGGTGGGCACATAATTCAAAGATGTTCGTGCCCTTGTTACAGTGATTCGACAAGTTGTATTCGCTGTCACATTCTCCATATTCCATTCACTTGCTTGTATGTTGTTGCATTGTTTCGATAATACTGTATTCCGTGTTGCAAAGGTGGTTGTTTCTCATCAAGCGATTTGGTCAATCATCAAGCAAGCTTCTGGTTATCAGCCGAAAGTCTCTCCAAGAGCTCGTCTTCGGCGGTGCAACATTTTTCCCATCAGCCAGAGTAGTAGCAGTGGTCGCTTTACCAAAGAGGGGGTTTCGCACGTGCGCTCTGATTGTGGTGCCCGAGAACCGGGATACGAAGTCGGCTCCGCCGTCCTGTGCTCCAGTCAGTGCTCTGGTCACGGGGGCGGAGGGTCGGACATTCAAGGAAAAAGGGGGGCACCTGCGGCCAATCCGCCAGGTGCCGACGATGTCACGAAAGAGGGGGCAGTCGTTTCCTCCCTTTTGTGAAAGCCAGATAGTCAGGGTTTAGTAGCCTGGATCGACATCTTCTGGCAAATACAGCTACCGTGCTCGAAGCCAGACACAGTGTCAAGAGGAAGCTCACAGAGCGCTTTACACGTGGTGTTTTCCCTACGTCGGAAACAAAGGTGTCGTTCGTGTCAACGTCGGCCTGCCCCGCGTCACGCTGGAGACGGAACGGACCACGGGTGCCTGCAGCCCTTAAGGCAGGCGCGCCCCCGGGCAAGAGACACCCCACCATAATGGGTGCACTCGGCCCGTGGGGGTGAGCACATAATTCAAATATGCTTGTGCCCTTGTTACAGTGATTCGACAAGTTGTATTCGCTGTCACATTCTCCATATTCCATTCACTTGCTTGTATGTTGTTGCACTGTTTCGATAATACTGTATTCCGCGTTGCAAAGGCGGTTGTCTCTCATCGAGCGATTTGGTCAATCATCAGGCAAACTTCTTGCATGGGCAGCCTGTCTCGCGGCGATGTCTGGTGCTGCCCGCGCAAGAAGTGCGGTTTCAAGACGAAAGTTGTTTGGAATGAGTTCTGCTACAAGTGCGGCCGCGCTCGGCCTCCTGTGCTCGGTTCCCCTCTTGTCCGCGAGGCTCGAAAAGATTGGGCCCAGGGGCCGCCGTCCGCATGGCCCCTCAGCAGGCCCAAAGACACTGGAACGCGCCCAGCTTGCCGCTTTCGTCCGCATGTTTCCCCGGGGTTTCGAAGCAACTAAGCCTTGGTTCGGTCTCAGTCAGCGTGCTCGTGTCGTCGCCCAGCGTGCTCTTGTGGCTGGTGACCCACGGACAGTGGCCAAGCACGCTCAGACAACCTTTCGATGGCTTCAAGAGGCACGTCGTGCAGTCCGAGCAGCAGGTCGCCTGTTGGAGAAGGTCATGCATTCGCAGGTGATCGAATTTGTTACGCTCAAGGCCAAGCTCTCCAGCCTGCAAGAGCAGGAGAGGGTCGCGCCTGCTAAAGCCACGGCGCCTGGGGCAGCAGTCGGCGCGGATCAGTGCGGACTCGTGCTCCTCGCGTTGGTGCTGGTGTTGTTGGAGTCACTCCTGGCGATCTTGGCTTTGCTTTGCTCATGCAGTTCGGGCCCATAAATCCGCCCCTCGCGTCGCTGCCACCTTCGGTCGTGGCTGCTCGCGATAGTGCGCCTCAGCCAGCGAGCGACTGTGACTCCGACGACCACTCCATGGGCGCCGACGACGACGACGGCGCGCGCGAGTACCCTGAGCCACAGCCTGCGCAGCACCCTGGCCTCAACGTGGAGGCCATCGCCCGCGCAGTCTTTGGCAGTGGCCCCGCAGCTTCTTTTTCTTTTGCCTCAGGCGCTTCGCCTGCCGCGCTCGACCCTCGCGGGAGGGGCGGCGGGTCGCGGGCGGGGGGAGGGGGGGGGCGGCTGCATTGGTGCAGAGTGCGGCCCAGCGGCTGTCCGCATGTTCTCTCGTTTCCTCCAGCGCCTCACCGCCGACGAGGGCATGGGTGCGTTCCTGTCCGAGAAGGGTCTCGCGCGCAAGCAGTGTGATAATGCCAACGGTGGACTCAACGACGCAACCGCTAAGAAGTTCGAGGTCGCCCCCGTTGACGCGCCCGAAGCTGACAGCCAAGCGTGCCCGAATTGACAATCTTTTGCCAAACGAGCGCAAGCAGTGGGCTTGCATCGCGGCCGGCGTTAGCGGGCACGTTGGCCTTGGCGCGTATTTTTCTGGATCGACTCCGTCTGACAGCGCTCGCTTGGACGCGTTCCTCTTTCCCCTGCGTCCGACCGCCTTGAAGCTAGGATGTGCGTTTCGGCTTGTCGGCATCTGCGCGCGTGGCGTTTCGGGTTGATGGCGATCCTTCAGGTGGGTGGTCGCGGCGACTGTCAGGCGAGTCGGGCTCGGCTCTCTAATGCATTTTGACAGACAGATCGTTCTCGCTCGAGTTCCGCTTCGCCATGTCGGAGGCTTGCCGAGAGGAGCCTTCGTTTTGGCCAACGCTTACTCGACCCGCTCCGTCGGCACTGACGATCAGAGTTGGATCATTGTGCAAGCTCAGACTGCTGGTCTTCTTCTCGTCGCCAGTGGTGGCTGGAACTTTTGCAGGGTGCCCCTCCGACCCGGCTCGATCGCTCGATCTCGACCAACCGATCCGACTCGGCCCAATCATGATATCATTTTCTCGCAGGGCTTGAGGCCCGCGGCCATTCAGAGTTTGGGTGTCCGGAGGTCGCAGCACCTCTCTTCCTCCGCCATCCTCTTCTCTTCATCTGTCGAGTCCGATTTGGCCTCGGCCTCCAGCCATTCAGATTCTGAGTGGCCGGGGGTTGCAGGGCCCCCCTCCCCCGCGAGGACGCCAATGAGAAAATTGCGCCGGGCCCGCGGTCAGCGAGGAAAGCCCGATGAGGGAGCTGCCACGGGCCCCGGTCGCTCAGATGTAGGCCGGGGGGCCCCCGACCTCTGGCCACTTCGGATTTAGTAGCCAGAGGCTGGGAGGACGCCCTCAAACAAGAACAACCAATGAGAGAACTGCCCGGGGCCCCTGGTCGCTCGGAGTCTGGGGGGCCCCAGACCTTTGAGCGGCCAGGGGCGCGGGGGGGGGCCGCCCGGAGCCTGGGGGGCCGCTGTGGGGCGGCCTGGGGGGCCCCGGACCTCTGGCCGCTCAGTGTCTGCGTGGCCAGGGGCCACCCCTGTCGTCGAAAACCAATGAGAAAGCTGCCCCAGGCCCCTGGCCATTCAGAATTGGAATGACCGGGGGGGCGCGACCTCTGGCCGTGCAGATTCCGAGTTACTGGTGGCCGCGAGACCCGCTCCCTTCCAATGGTGAGAAACGGGCGACGAAATTGGCCTTGGCCCTGGGCCATTCAAATTCGGGAGGGCCCGGGGGCCCGGGGCCCGCGGCCAGTCAGATTCTGAGTGGCCTGGGGCCCGAAGCTCCCCGCGTTGAGGGTAAAGCTATAAGAAAGTTCCCGCGGCTTTTGGCCACTCAGATTTGGAGCGGCCGCAGGGGGCCCGCGAGCTCTGGCCACTCAGATGCTGAGTGGCAAGGGGCGCAGGGCCCCGCGGCCGCGGGAAATCCGAATAGCCGGGGGCCTCGGGCACTGGCGCCTCAGAGATTTGAGCCGACGTCAGGCAGATCAGCTACAGAACCGATCCGATCCGATCCGACCCGATCGACCGCGGTCGCTTCGGGGGGGCGCCTTGTTATGGCGCGCAGATCTCGCCAAGACTAGTCGGATTGATGCGATGGGCGCCGTCGTGGTGGCCCTTCGGCATGGTGCGCGCAGGCCAGTTGCGGTGCGCATCGACTACTTTGTCGTGTCCAGGCAGATCGCAGTTCGTGCCGGGACCGAAGCTGCGTCGAATGATCCCATCCTTCCTCGCCTCTCCGTCAGGTCCCTCAGTTCCCCGGTCGAGCCCTTGTGCCAGGTGGGCACCGTGCAGTTTCCCGAGATACCCCCCTCGGGCCTGCCAGTGGACGTGGCGGTCGGCCCTCCCGCCGTGGATCCCCGGGGGCGCGTCGGCCTTGCGCGCGCTGGCCATGACCTTTTGGCCCAGGATGAGGCGGGGCGCCGTTCTGTGGGCTGCCCGGGCCGCGCGGCTACATCATTTTCAGATTTCGGGAGACAGGTCCAGTGAGTTCGCGGGCAGCGATGAGCCCCCGCACGTGGCCTGGAAAACCCTGTCCACTCTTTCTCCCCCCAAGGTTTCCCAAGCTTTCGCCCCTCGCGCGTTGGCGGCGCAAGGCGCAGTCACTTCTGGCCGACTTCGGCGCGAGCCGATAGGCGCTCTCAGGTCCCAGCTCGTTGCTGCTGCCCAGTGCCTCTCTCGTTGTCATCCTCCGCCCGGCGTTGCTGAGGTTGCTGCGCGGGCGGCAACTCTGCGCCAGGTTCATGCCCCCCCCCGCGCTCGCTGCCCAGCGCCCGGCGCAGGAGGCCGGCGACGGGGGGCAGCAGCACCGGCGGCGCTCTGCTCAGGCCAAGGGAATGGTATGGGGTAGGTGGGTTGATTGGCCTTTGACTGGAGGTGCATCGGCTTTGTTCGAGTTTTCCTCGCCCCCCACCTCCTGGCAGTCTGAAAGCATCCACCTTGGGGCCCTGCGCCCCAGCTCGTCGCTCGAGTCGATCGACGTTTGAGGGGGTGGGGGGGGGGGCGGAAAAAGCGCCGGCAGGTCGGGCAGGAGGTCGCCGCGCCCCGCTGGTCTAGTCCGGGCGAGCCGCCCGCTGGGCCCGCGGCGGCCGAACTTGCGCGCGCCATTCTGAGTTTCAGGGTGAGCTCGGGCGCTGGCTTCGCTCGGGCGTCGCCTCGCTCGCCCCTGTCGTTGCTGCCTCCTGCGCTGGAGGCGCTGTGCGGCATCGTGCGTCGCATTTAGCATGGGCGAGAGTGGCCTGTCGTGTGGAGTCGCATCGTGCTCATTTTCAAACAGTTGGGGGGATTGACACTTCGGTCTGCTTCAGGCGTTGGCTCATGCGCAGTGTCGCTTGGGACGTCCTCTCACTCGCTGGTGGCAGGCGCCCCATTTCAGGTCCTTGTTCCTCTCGCGGCGGGCCCCGTGGGAAGTGCGTTTGGATTCGAGTTGCTCGGTCCGAGCGCGCTGCGTGCGAGGACAGAAGAATATTTTCGAGTTAGTGCAGCATTTGTTGCATCTGCTTCAGATCTACAGAGCGCCTCGCATGTATATTGGCGGCGAGGTTGAGAGTTCGTTGCAGGTTTTGCAGGCGATAGTACCATGATGTTTTTTTGCCACTTGCGTGTTGCAGCTCATTCTGCCCGGACGCTCGGACGCTGCGCAGGCCTGCTGCCCCGCCGTCCAGCTGTCCGCCAACGTCGACGACATTCGGCCTCGTATGGCGGGGCGCGTCGTCGCGCTTGGCGGCCGACGTCGCCGCTGTTGGCGAGTTGTTCCATGGGCGGCTGTGCAGCGTCGACATCCGAACTGCCGCTGAACAGTCGCGCATCCTCGGCGCTCCGCCGTCCGTGCGCAACGTCAGTGCCAGTGGGCATAAGAGCCCCCCCCATCTCCTGCCCGTACGTTCCAGTCGCGATCGTAGCGTCGGTGTCGGTTCGGGGCTCGTCGGGGGCAAGGCCGCGGCGCGCGGCCACTTTAATGGCGCGCGCCTCAGGACGGCGAGAATGGGGATCCAACGGGTCCAAGCCTCGGTGGCGCGCTTGGGCGCGTGGTTGGGGCTGCCCTTGAGTCTTTGGCCCTTTGCGGTGCCTCGGTGACGGGCGCGAGCTGTGCCGCGGGTAAGCTTCGAGACCATCGCCAAGATAGCAAGTCGCGCACTCTGACCCTTCTACCCCCCACGTGCCCGCCCCAGTTGGGCCCGATCTATCATGTTTCCTTGCATCCTGCCAAATGTTTTCCCATGCGTTTTGGCGCTCTCGGATGCCCCGCGAAGCGTTGGATTTTGGCCTTCGTGAGGCCCGCAAGAAGCCAGTGCTCCACGAGCACCTTGGGCACTCCATCAAAAGATCTCTTTTGTGTTCTGTGGGCAACGCTCAGGCGCGCGGGTGTCGCGGCTGACGCAGCTTCCTATTGGATATGCCTGACGGGGCTGACATGCCGACTTTGCCGAATGCTGGCCCCTCACGAACGATCCAATCCCTGTAGCGCCGCGTGGTCGAATTGTGGCAGCGTGGCGAAGTTTCCGAACACCTCGACCAGCCTCAGTTTCGGCGGCGATTCTTTCTCAGCCCCTCTGAAGGTGCCGCTCGGCGGCCCCAGCAAATTTACCGCCGCGCAGCGAGCGCACCTTTGCAGTGCTGTTGTTGGGGGCCAGCGGCCCCCATAGCGCCAGTGGTTGGCTGGAAACCGGGCCGCCCCCACTTGTTACCTGCGCCCAGGGGCTGAAGGTTAACCCCATGCATGGGCACTGTGGGCGTCCCAGGCCCGAGCTTGAGCACCCGCCGGCGTTTCGTGCCAGCGCTGCTGTGGCCGCAGCCTCCTCGCAGTTGGCGCTGTTTTTTTCGCGGAGCGTTGCTTCGTGCCCGTTCCTGTGCTCGAGCGGCCGCCTCCAGGGCTCCTGCCACCTGGGGGCTACGATGCACTCGAGTTCACAGGCGACGTTCACGGCTCAGTGTTTGAGGCAACATATTCCAGTCTTGCCATCGTTGGCTGGTGGTGCGCGGCGCTTCATCCTGAGCTTTGCAAAGTTGTTTCGGGTGCGCGTGGCCCTGTCTTGGACCGCATGCAGTGCATCCGGGTTGTGGAGCTGCTTGCTGTCATTCATATGATGCGCTTCGCTATGCCACCTTTGCGTGCGCATGCGGATTTGCAGTCTGTTTTGACGGTTTTCGCGAGCGTGGCCGTGGGGCCACTACCTCTTGTGTCGTTGCGCGCGCTCACTTACGGAGGGAACTCTGGAGGCTCTTGGACGACCGGGGGGGGGAGGGGGGGGGGCTTCGACGCATTCTATGTCAAAGGACACTCTGCCCTAGTGGACGTTCAGCTCGGTGGCGCGACGGACCGCCACGGTTTTGGCAATTCGAAGGTCGACGAGGCGTCCAGACGTGCAGCCCAGTTTTCCCGCATTCGTTTCGGTGCTCTGACGCAACTCGAATCAGGAGGGAAAAAAACACACAGACACAATTAATCGTCGATTCCCCAGAAAATATAGGAAAATATGGAAAGTGGGGAGGAAGACAAAAGCCAAGAAAATATAGGAAAATATGGGGAATCATTTTATTAGTGTGTATTTATTTGTGTGTCTCAGGGCCCCTTCATCGAAGCGGGGCGTCAAGTATCGAAGTGCTGGGGCTCTTGGATTGGGCGTCTCTCGGACGGGCCGGCCGACCGTCGGCACCCCAAGAGGCGCCTCCCTGGGAAGCCCCCCCGGTCGCTCAAATGGTTCTGGTGCGCGAGCCCGTGCCCAACGACATCGCGAGTCGCGCGTTGGCTGCTTAGGCCAAGTTGGGCGCGGGATCGACGGCGCATGCTCTTGCGTGCATTCAGTTGCAAGACGGCCCCTAGTTGTCGGATGCACGCGTCGCGAGTGCTGTGCCGCCTCTCGTGTCTCCAGCCTTGGGAGAACCCATGCCCTTCGGTCGTGGCCGATTGGGCGCAGAAGGTGCTCAAGAAAATCGCGAAAGGAGACTTCAGGTTCGATGGCAAAGTGTTCCGTGGGGCGTCTCAGGTCGAGCTTAGTGTGGCTTAGACTGCGAGGCCTCAGTGTGCGGTGCTGGCGCCTGAGCTGGCCGCTTCCGCTGCGCTCAACCCACCTGCTACGTTAGCAGTTCTCTCTTTGGCGCGCCTTCGTGGCCTTGTCCTGCTCGCTACCTGGTTTTCCACGTGTCTCTCTTGGCACGTGGGTTCGTGCAGCCCGTAGTGCTTCGTCCACGGATTATTGTCCAGCCTGCTAACCTATCCGACTGTCCGCGCTAGCCCCGGCTCAGCTTGTGGTGAGGACGACGTGGTACAGGCTGCGACTCCACGTTTTTCTGTTCTCCTTGCTCGCAGCCCTCCCTCGTCTCTGTCGGGGCGCTGCAAGCAGATGTTGCGCCTTGGCATTTTGAAGGCGGCGCCTGGAGTTCTCTCTCTCTCTCTCTCTCTCTCTCTCTCCTGGTGCCCCTTTTTGTCCCGGCCTCCCGAGCTGTTCGCGCTCGGTCTGGTTCCTGGTTCCTGGGTCCTCGGGTCTGGCCTCCTGGCTCCTGTTGTGCATGCCGCCGCTGAGGTCAGACCCGTTCGGCAGCCTGGCCTTGCAGGCTCAGCACGCTGGCTCCTCACCGGGCCCGTGCGTGCCTTTTGACGCCAGTGCGGCGTCTTGTCCGAACCGCGTGGCCAAGGGCCGCTGCAAGGTGCGTCCCTGGCCACGTGTTTCACTCAGGCTGGTGGTGGACGGAGTCTGTCGGCCGCCAGGTTGTGTTTAGGCGGAGGAGGAGGAGGCGGAGGAGGAGGAGGAGGAGGAGGAGGAGGAGGTGGAATCAGAACATGCGTCGATGACACCTCGCATCCTGCGAAGGAGGGGCGGTCCCCCCTGGTGCCTCCCAGACCAGAGACAGCGCCCAAGGCGCCCCCTGGGATCTCGCCTGGGGGGCCCATCCCAGAGGCGGCACCGAGGAGGGACCGCCCCCCACCAGAGCCCGAGAACTCAGAGCCAGGCCAACTTCACCCCGCTCCTCCCCTCGGCCCAGAGAGTCTTTGAAGGCCCACGTTCGGACCTTAGGCCTCGGCGGGCTTCAGCTGCGCGCGCCCGCCCGGGCCCCCCATGACGCCGGCCAGCACCTCGGGCACCGAGTCGAGGCACTCGACCGCTCTGGGCCCCAGCAGCTTCGCCAGCAGCTCGCGCGCTCCTCCTCCTCTCCTCCCTCCTCCCTCCCCCTCCTCCTCCTCCCTCCTCCTCCCTCCTCTCCTCCTCCCTCCTCCTCCTCCTCCTCCTCCTCCTCCTCCTCCTCCTCCTCCTCCTCCTCCTCCTCCTCCTCCTCCCTCCTCCCTCCTCCTCCTCCTCTTGCCTGGCTCCTGGCAGCGCGCGAGGTGCTCCAGGGCCAGGGCCTTCAACGTGATCTCAGGCTTCACCTTGCCGTCGCCCTCGATCGCTTCCTGAACGACGTCGTCGGAGCAGCCCGTCTCCGTGCCGTCGCCCTCGATCGTCGCCCGGACGACGCCGTCGAAGATGTCCTCGAGCACCTCCTTCTCCTCACCGGCCTTGCAGGGCACCACCGCGACGTCTGGCAGGTTCGCCGCTTGCTAGCCCTTTTGCGTCCGCTTCTTCTCGACACCAGAGCCCGCGGGGTTCGGCCCGCGGTCCTTCTGCCCGACGATCTCGCACACCGTCTCCTCGTCCAGGAGGCCGAATGAGTCCGAGACGACAACAATGTACTCGATGTCAGCAGGCGCCTTCACAGTCACCAACTGCGCACTCCAGCACTTCCTCGTCGTTGTCGCCGTTCTTGTCGTTGTACCACATATCCAGGCCGCACTTGCCGCACTCCCCACACCGCTCCCTGTCGTCAATGGCGTCGCTGTCGACCATGCCGTACCAAGCGATGCGTGCACCTGCGGCCTGACCGCGCTGTACCCCGACACTCTCGAGCACGGCCTTCTCCTCGAAAGGCTTCTCGACCTCGACGCTCACACCCGAGAAATTCACAACAAGACTCTCCACGCTCGCCTTCGACCCCTCCCGGAGAGGCTCCAGCGGCTTGAAGGACTCGTCGTCCTGCTTCTTGATGCTTCGCGCCGACTTCGGCTCCTCCAGGCCTGCTTTTTCTTGGACTTCTTTACCTTTTCCGACTTCTGCAGCTTGACCCGCTTGGAGCGGTCCCTCTGAGTGGACACAGTGCTCCGAGGCTCCTCCAAGAAGCTGATGTCCGTGCTGCTGCTCCTTCCCCGGGTCCCGGCTCTCCACGCCCTGGCGCTCCCGACGGCTGGCCTGCAGAGCGCGCTGGAAGACCACCTTCGCCGTCGGCCTGCTGGCGGCAGCTGTCCTTCCGGGTGAAGGCCTCTGGCTCCGCGTCCGCCTTGGACCGCCGCGTGCGCCGGCAGAAGCCGGCCTCCGGCGGGGCCCGCGGGGGGCCTCGGCCGGCCACGGCGCCTCCTCCTCGGCTTTGCCTCAAAATCGCCAGCAGCTCGGGCGGGGCCTGCGACGGCCGTGCCTTGGGGCCGCTGCTGGCCCTGCCTTTGCCCTCGGAGCTTCTCCGTTGGCGAGGGCCGCCGCGGCTCCTGCGCCTTCACGGCGGCCTGCTCCTCCCCGACCTCGAGGGCTGCGCGCACCGCGGTCTTCGCCGCCGTCGCCACCGCGGCCGAGACCGCCGCCTCGACTGCGCTGTGCTTGTCCGCAGCCTCGCGCTTCCGCCAGGGTGCCTCGGCCGCCCCGGCCGACGGAGTCCAAGGGCGGGACTTCCACTGCATGCGCTGGCCCCGTTCTGCGCGCGCCCCTACGAAGTGCGCGCGCCGAAGCCCGAGTCCCCTCGGGCCGAAGGGGCTAGGAGGAGGAGGAGGAGGAGGAGGAGGAGGAGGAGGAGGAGGAGGAGGAGGAGGAGGAGGAGGAGTGAGGAGGAGGAGGGAGGGGAGGAGGAGGAGGAGCAGGCGGAGGAGGAGGAGGAGGAGGAGGAGGAGGAGGAGGGGGAGGGGGAGGAGGAGGAGGAGGCGGGGGAGGAGGCGGGGGAGGGGAGGGAGGAGGAGGAGGAGGAGGAGGAGGAGGAGGAGGAGGAGGAGGAGGAGGGGGAGGAGGAGGAGGCGGGGGATGAGGCGGGGGAGGAAGCGGGGGAGGAGTAGTAGTTATATACGAATGCGTCTTGGCGGGGCCTTCCACGGCCAGAAAGACATGATGCCTCAAAATGCTCTCTCTTCAGAGCATGAATCCACGGATTCTGCACCCGACGGCGGAGAATCCTCTCTTCGCGCCGGCGCGCCCCAAGCGCAGCAACCCAGCCTTCGTCTTCGCCACAGCCCGAAACACGACAACATGTAGTCTCGAGTGGGCGGTTGGCGCGGGAGGTTGCGCCCGCTGGCACTGTGGCCGCGGGCGGGCTCTGCCTCCACGGCGCGGCTTGACGATTCGGTTTGCGGCCTGACCTGGCCAAGGAGCGCCGCAAGACGAACGCGGTCTTCGCGCGAGGGCGCGGTCGGCACCTCGAGCGTTTCAGGAGGAGGCGGAGGAGGAGGAGGAGGAGGAGGAGGAGGAGGAGGAGGAGGAGGCGGAGCAGGAAGAGCAGGAGGCGGAGGATGAGGATGAGGAGGAGGAAGAGCAGGAGGAGTCCGGCGCCCAGGGTCGGTCTCCCGAAGACCGGCCGTGTATTGCACACGCCCAGCCAACGAATTACCGCCCAGAAAGCAGCAACAGCTGCGCAGGAAGGGCATAGGAGGTGACCACGTCGCCTGTGAAGACTCGCGGCCCAGCAGTTCCGACATGGTGCGTTCAGAGCCAAAGGCATCCCAGTCGGAACAGCTGGCACGGCATACTGAGGAGCACAAGCTCCCCAGCCCTGGGTGGGCAGAAGGCCCCTTGGGACTCACGTGGCACAAGCCACCGCCTCCCGAGGAAATGCCGATCCCTGAGGGTCAGAGCACAATGAAATTACCGCACAGGCGCCGCTACCCGCCTTCACCAGCAGGGCCAGGCTGAGACTGGGGCCGTGCTACACCCAACGACGGGAGACCCGTCGAACCAGGTTTCGCAACGTCCACCCCAATCCCCAGAGTCCGCGGTACCAGAAAAATCGGCCGGTTGCACCCCGCCCAACCTGCGAAATAAAGTGCAGTGTACAGTGTGCCCCGAGGGTGCTCGGCACTGACACCATGAAAACAGGTGCCAGGCCTCACCGGAGGGGCAGGAAGAGCAGGAGGAGGAGGAGGAGGAGGAGGAGGAGGAGGAGGAGACGGATGAGGAGGAGGAGGAGGAGGAGGAGGAGGAGGAGGAGGAGGAGGAGGAGGAGGAGGAGGAGGAGGATCAGTCGTGGGAGGACGAGGACGAGGACGACGACAAGGGCGAGGCGGATGGGATGGCTTTGACTCCGCGCGTCATTTCACCAAGGTGGACGTAGAGGATGAGGCCGCGATCGACGCCTACGTCCAGGGCAGCTTCTTCGACAAGCTAGACCCGGCCAAGCCGCCGTGGCGGGTGGTGTTCTTGAAGGCCCCTGAGGCAAAGAGCAAGTCGGCCGCCTACATCAGGATACACCACTCGATTGGTGACGGCCCTCGGGACCTCGTACGCAAATGTGCAGCCATCCTGTTGGCGGCGTGGCCCGCGGACCCTCATCCCGACTCCATCCTCCCCTCCTGCCTTCCTTCCCTCCTACCTTCTTCCCTTTTTCTCGTGCTCCTCCTGCCGCGCCTGCTGCTGCTCCTCTTCATTATCATTATTCTCCCCTACCCCCCTCCCCTACCCCTTCCTCCGCTCACCTCCACCCTCAACTTCTCATTTCCCCCCGGCAGGAGGAGGCATGGGAAGGAGGAAGAGGCAGAAAGAGCGGAGGCAGGAGGATAAAGGCAAGAGGATAAGGAGGAGGCAGGAGGGTGTAGGAGGAGAGGGCTAGAGGAGCGCCGCAGGCAAGCTAAAGAGATTATCATGCGGGGTCCTTGAGTCGGGCCATTTTTTTTTGTTCCCTGCGCAGCCTGTCTGTAAGGGCGTTTCCCCGACTTACTTCTTGCGCACTGTATCCGGTGCTTGAGGCCGCCTGCGCGCCCCTCACCCGTCGACTCTCGACGGTCTGGCCTCCTCCTCCACGGCCGCTCTCTGCTTTTCCACGCGTTCCGCGCCCCCCGCGCCCGGCGCGTCCCTCTCGCGATCCTCCTGCCCGCGTCCGCTGTTGCTGCCGGTCAGATTGTCTGTGAGGACCCTGCCTATCTCGAAGGCCAGATGTGAGGTCTTCCGGATCCAGAATCGGTGCCTCGGTGGCCCGTGGTCTCCCGTTCGGTCTCCCGCGTCGTCTCCTATAGGTTCTCCCGTAGAGTCGCCCGTATAGTCTCCCTTGCGGTTTCCGTGCGATCCCGTTTCATGGTCCCTTCCATGTTCTCCCTTGTGGTCTCCGCTATGGTCTCCCATCATGGTCTCCCTCATGGTCTCCCTATCCCTCATGGTCTCCCTTTTGGTTGTCCTTACTGTCTCCCTTCAGCCATATCCTCTGGAGTAATAGCCATACTTTTATTCTTCACTCCCCAGAGTACTCTTCTCTGTAAAGCTCTCGTTAGTGCTCCCAATAGCTGCTCAGGATCCTCTTCCGCCAAGGGTGTAATTTGGTTCGGAAGACAATTCGGGCCCCTGGCGGCTGGTTCGGACGACTGGCAGAAGGCTTTCGACGATGAGCGGCAGATGGAGAAGATCCCTGGGCCCGAGAACCTCCAGGACCCCCAGAGGAAACATCGGAAGCTTCAGAGTCGTCGTCGTTGTCGCCGCTGCAGAAGGCCGCCGCAGGCGTCGTCGTCGTCGGCGTCGTCGCCGAGGGCTCGGGCTGCTGTTCGCTATGTCGCCGATGTGCGGCTGCGAGGGCGGCGACCCGCTCGGCAAGATCCCCTTGCCCGCAGCGCTGCTCCCTGGCAGACCCAAGCAGCAGGCGAGGGAGGCGCGCCTTCCAGAAACAGGAAAGGAAGAGGACGATGATGCAGGAAGAGGAGGAAGAGGACGATGATGATGATGATGACGATGACGATGATGATGAACCTGATGATGATGGTGATGATGATGATGATGACGATGATGGTGATGAGGATGATGATGGTGGTGATGGTGATGGTGGTGGTGATGGTGGTGCTGATGATGGTGGTGGTGATGATGATGATGAGGATGGTTGTACATGATGATAAAATACGATGATGATGACGGTGATGCTGATGATGACGATACTAATGCTCATTATGATGCTGTTGATGGTGATGATGATGACGATGATGATGCTGAGGATCATGCTGACGATGAGGATGCTGATGATGAGAATGATAATGATGATGAGGAGGATGAGAAGGATGCTGATGCTGATACTGCTGATGATGCTGATGGTTATGATGATGATGCTGCTGATGATGCTTATGATGTTTATGATGCTGATGGTGATGATGATGACGATCGTGATGATGATGCTGATGATGCTGATAATGATGCTGATGCTGATGCTGATGTTGATGCTGATGCTGATGCTACTGATGATTATGACGATGACGATTATGATCATGATGCTGATGATGCTGAGGATGATGATGCTGAGGATGAGGATGGGGATGAGCATGATGCTGATGATGGTGACGATGCTGCTGATGGTAATGATGATGATGATGGTGGTGGCGGTGATGATGATGGTGGTGATGATGATGAGGATGGTTATGCTTGATGATGACAGACGAT